AATAAAGTGATAACAGGCACCAAGCAAGTCCAAAACCCAGCAGGGTAGACATTAAGTCTTAGGACTCTAGAATCTCCTTTGACTCTGTGCCCAGACTACTCTGCACACTGGTATGGGAGTTGGGCCCCCAAGGACTCAGGCAGCCCTGTCCTCACAGCTTTCCTAGGCTCAGCCCACGCTTTTGTTCTCTCAGGCTGGCATTGCAAGCTGGTAGCTCTACAATTCTGGGATCTTGTGATTGTCCTGCTCCCACAGCTCTATTAGGCGTGACCCTGGTGGGGACTCTCTATGGCAGTTCTGATCCCATGTTTCTGCTCAGCATTGCCCTAGTAGGGGCTCTCTGCAGTGGCTCTGCTCCTGTGACAGACCTCTTCCTAGGCTTGCAGACTTTTCTATCTGTCCTTTGAAATCTTGGTGGAGGCCACTATGCCTCTGTAGCTCTTGCATTCTGCAAGCCTGCAGAATTAGCACCATGTGAATGCTGCCAAGGTTTACAGCCTTTGTCATCCAGACCTGTGGCACGAGCTGCACCTGGGGCTGCTTGAACCACAGCTGGCAGCCTAAGTAGCTGAGATGCGGGGAACAGTGTCCCTGTGTGGCCCTGGCCAGCAAGCCCATAGAGTATGCCCCGGCCTGTCCCTCAAAGTCATTCTGTCTTCCAAGGCTTCTGGGCCTGTGATAGGATGGATAGCCTTGAAGATTTCTGAAATGCCTTAGGGCCTTTTTGCCAATGTCCTGATGCATAAGCACCTGGCTTTCTTTTATCAGTGCTAATCTCTTTAGCACCCAGTAGCTCCACAGCAACCTTGGCATTCTCTCTTACACACACCTCTTTACTTCTTATGTGGGCAGGCTGTGAATTTTCCAAATTTTTACCTTCTGCTTCCTTTTTGATTATAAATTCCATCTTAAAGTAATTTTTTTTCCTCTTGCAGCTTAATGTAAGCAGTTAAAGTAGGCATAAAGCAGCCTGCATGATTTTCTGCTTGGATATTTCTTTTACCAAATATTTTAATTCATTTCTCTTAAGTTCTACATTCCATAAAGCTCTCAGACATGGACACAGTTCAGCCAAATTATTTGCCACCCTATAGCAAGAATGACCTTTACTCCAGGTTCCAATACCTTTTTCCTCATTTCTGCCTGAGACCTTGTCAGAATGGACTTTACTGTCCATGTTTCTATCAACAGTCTGATCATGACTTCACCGATTTTTAGAAGTTTCAAACTTTACCTAGTCTCTTTTCCTTCTGAGCCCTCATCAGAACCTAGGCTTTTTATAGCCTACTCCTCCAAATTCTTCCAACCTCTGCCCATTACCCAGTCCAAAGCTGCTTTCACATATTCAGGTATTTGTTATCAGCAACACCCCATTTCTAGATACCAGTTTTCTGTGTTAGTCTGTTTTGTCACTTATTACAGAATACTTAAAACTGGGTAATTTATAAAGAAATTTTATTTCTTTCAATTCTGGAGGCTGGAAAACCCAAGGGTATGCCTCAGCATCTGGTGAGAGCCTTCTTCTTGGTGGGAAGTCTGCAGAGTCCTGAAGTGGCACAGGGCATCACATGGCAAAAGGGCAAGAGTGTGCTGGTTCAGGGCTCTCTTCCTCTTCTTAGATAGCCACCAATTGCATCCCCATGATAGTCCATTAATCCATGAATGGGCTAATCCATCGATGAGGGCAAAGCTCTCATGATCCGGTCACCTCAAAAAGGCCCCACCCCTCAATACTGCCACATTGAGGATTAAGCTTCAACATGAGTTTTGGAGGGGACATTCAAATCATAGCAAGGTTTTTAAAACATTTCTCAAAATGGAACATACTGGGCGGTGTTGTTATTTCTTGTTTGCTATTTTAATTGGCTACATTTCTTCTTTTCTCAGTCAAGCATCCAAACTTGGAGACCAGATGGCAGATTTGCACCTTTACAACCAGAAGCTCAGCAAGAAGATGAAAGAGGGGGAGAACACAGTGGGTGCGTTCAGATCACTTTTGTGTACCCTTTACCCAGCTGCATTTGGCCATCTACCCTAGATTGGTACTCATGGTGCATCTTGGTGGCATTTTAATAATAAGTTGAATTGCACACTATCTCCCTTTATACTGCATTATGAAAATGAGATTATTAAATAAGAATTTTGATGGAGCTCATAAGCTAGTAGAATTGACTTATGACCCCTTTTATACCCAGTTCTGCTGTCCACTGTGCTTGAGGTAGGAGCATCCTGGCAGATCTATATGTTGATTAATTGCTACTGTATGTAGTACATTCTCAGACCACCCATATTCCAGTGCAGCCCACACTTATACTGATGCTTTGCTGAGGTTTGGCGTTTAAGAGAAAGACATGCAGCTCTTTCAGGCCAAGTATCTCTGTTGACAGGCCAGAGGGCTGAAGGTGGTGAGCCCCAGTACGTGACCAAGTTCGGCTTCCACACGGTGACATACTGCGGCTTCATCCCACAGGTGAGTGCTTGGGTGGGAATGTTTATGCTCAGCTGATGACCATTCCCCAATGCCCCAGTGCTGGTCACTGACCCCTTATATGTGACAGTGTCAGTCCCCCAGGCACCGGCAAGACTGACCACCTGATTTCTTTTTTTTTTTTTTGTTTTCCCGCGGCTGGCTGGTATGGGGATCCAAACCCTTTACCTTGATGTTATAACACCACACTCTAACCAGCTGAGCTAATTGGCCAGCCCTGACCACGTGATTTCTGAAAGCAGAATGAAAGTTGTGATTCCTGGGAAGGGGAGAACAGACGTAGAAGTTCGCTGAGCTGAGCCCAGAGGGAACGGGACCTGGTAGGGCGGGTGGAACAGCATTCCAAGCAGAAGGAACAGCGAGTGCAAAGGTTGTGTTGTAGGAGGGTGCCCCACGAGTGTGAGAAGCTGACAAGAGTGGGGGTGGGACAGCTTGCAAGACCCGGGATTAAGCCCTGGTTGCTCAGCCCCTCTCCCAGGGCCTCTTAAAAATATCACTCATTGAGATACAATTGAGATATAACTCACAACATAAAATCTACCATTTTAACGTGTATAATTTAATAATTTTAGTATGGTCACACTGTCGTGCAGCCATCATCACTATCTAATTCCAGAATATTTCTATAAACAGCATCCTTCAGCAGTCACTCTCCACCCCCCACCCCCCACCCCAGTCTTTGGCAACCACGAATCCACTTCCTGTCTCTGTGGATCTGCCTGTTCTGGACATTTCATATAAATGGAATCATACGATATGTTGCCTTTTGTGTCTGGTTTCTTTCATAGAGCACAGTGTTTTCAGAGTTGTCCATGTGGTAGCCTGGGTCAGTGCTGCATTCTTCTTTATGGCTGCAGTATACAGGGGGTCTTCAAAAAGTTTGTGGAAAGATTCATATTATCTTTTAAAAATTTATTTATTTATTTATTTAAAAAATTTTTTTTCTAGATTCGTCTGATCTTTTAATTTGATTTTTCCATGAACTTTTTGAACTAGCCCCGATTCCGCTGTATGGATATACCACATTTTGTTTACCCATTCTTTCTATGGCTGAATAACACTAGGGCCTCTTGAATCACCATTTATGAAACCTGTGAAGTTCTGAAGAACGCCTGTCTTCCTGCACAGCCCAAGTGCCCTGTGCCTGAAGAAACCATTTCTGGTCGGTATTTTGCTGTCATTAGGGACACAGTGCTTATGACATAAGAGACAGTCCTGTTTAAAATCACTGCTTCCTGAAGGGGGAATACTCTCACATCCATCTCCTCCTTAATGCCTGTCCTGACTAGCTGGGTCCCTGTGGACAGTAGCCAAGCTGCCCCGGTGTGGGGTGGAGGGCAGTTCTCCCAGCTGGAGGTCACTCGGGACAAGATCCGTATGAGGCCCAAGACAGATTTAGAGATCCCAGCCGACAGGCAGCCCTCATGTCTGGGGTCCCTAGAACTCATGAGGTGGTTTACTAGGCTTGTCGAGACCCCCTAACTATCAGCCAAAGCCAGCACATCTGCAGTGACACATCGGTCTGGAGCTGGTGACCGGCACGTGCTTAGTCATCCTAGGCAAGCATGGCTGCGTGTGGCTTGTTGTCCTGCATCAGATGTTGAGTTTAAGGACTGCAGGTGGTGGGGAGTCTCCAAAGACTTGGTGGAACTAGCATAGTGACTTTTCAAATATTCAAGAGTGGAGAACTGAATTCTTGAGCAGAACCCCAGTGTGTGAAGCAGGTGACAGTGGGGTTGGTCCGTTAGGAACACAGGTGGTCCGAGTGCCCCTTCAGACTCCGGATCAAGAAACCAACTCAGACCAGCTGCAGCCTGGCCAGGAAGGGACGAGGGACCTGGGAGGACACCTCGTCCACCTCCTTTGAGCTACGACAAGAGTGTCCTGCATGTAGCACCTCGGTGCAGTCCCAGGTTCCAGAGGCTTCCTAGTCCCCCTGGGGAGGGCTGAGCAGGCCCTTGGTGGGGGTGGTGGTGATGCTGCAGCCATTGGTGGGCAAGGCTGAGCACTTCATCTGACTAAACTCACCCAGATGCCATAGTGGGTAAGGTCATTGATCCATTTTATAGATGAGGAAACTGCCGCACAGAGGGGCCAGGTAACACTCCTGAGACATGCAGCTAGTAAGTGCAGGAGACAGCATCTGCCCCACAGCCTGGCTTCAGAGTGGGCCCTAACCATTACACAACCCTGCCCCTGTCAAGGTGAGGCTCCGTCCTGAGTACCAGCTGTGCACCCAGGTGCACCCACCCTTGTTAGCTCAGGGGAAGGCCACATTGGTGGGTTTGGGGGTCATGGCCCCTCCGTCCAGGGGGTGGGACTGAGCTTGCCACTGTTGGACTTCTGCTCCCAGCACTAAATCTGTACCTTTTATGATCTGATCATCTTCCAGAAGGAGGACAGTACTCAGACACTGGGAGCCTGGGCAGGCAGGTGGGAGGCTGCTTGGTGCACCTCTGTGCCGGGTCCCTACAGTCAGGCTGTGGGGAGGGGGCCTTCCCGTCCTGCTCTCGAGGTGCACCCAGCACTGGGGGTGAACTCAGAGGCCGAGCTGCCACAGTGCCCATGTGTAGGTAGAGTCTCGATGGTGAGGACCACTGTACAGGGAAATCTGGTCTGTCACTGGGGCGAGTGCTCACCAGAAGGTCCTGCCCAAAGGGGTTTCGCAAAGTAATGCTTTGCATAAAATAAGCTTTGTATTTTCCTCTACTGAGGCATAATTCACATAACCTGTACCTATTTAAAGTATACAATTTGGTAAGTTTCAACATAAGTGCACACCCGTGAACCACTTTACACAATCAAGATAATGAGTCAGTTGATCACCCCAAAAGTTTCATCGTGCCCTTCTGTAACCTCTCCCCCTGCACTTCCCTGCTCCTGGACAACCACTGATCTGCTTTCTGTCACTGCAGATTACTTTGCATTCTGTGGAATTTAATATAAATAGAATCATATGGTGTGTACTCTTTTTTTGTCTGGCTTCTTTCATTCAGCATAATTATTCTGATATTCATGTAAAAAATTCTTTTGATATTCATCTGTGATATTCATCCATGTTGCATGTGTCAAAAGTCCGTATCATTGTGTGGACAAACTGCAGTCTCTCTATGCCTTTGCTGTTCACAGACATCTGGGCAGTTTCCAGTTTTTGCTTTTACAGATAAAGCTGCTGTGAGCCTTTGTGTACAAGTCTTTGTGTGGACAAAGCTATCATTTATCTTGGGCAGATACCTAAGAGAGGAATGACTGGGTCATATGGTAGGTTTATATTTAACTTTTTAAGAAATTGCCGAACTCTTTTTCAAAGTGGCTGCACCATTTTACCTTCCACCAACAGTGTAGGAGAGTTCCAGTTCCTCCACATCCTTTCCAACACGTGGTATTTTCTTTTTTTTTTTTGTCTTTTTTACTGACCAGTAACGGGATTGCAACCCTCGTTGTTGCACCCGCACCACGCTCAGCCAGTGAGCGGTAACCGGTCTCCACATGGGATCTGAACCCTCGGCGGAAGCGCCGCCGCGCTCCCAAGCGGAGCACTCTCCAGTTTGCCACCAGGCTGGCCCGTATTTTCTTTTTTTTAAATTATAGCTGTTCTGGTGGGTTTGAAGAGGAATCTCACTGATATCTATTTTGCATTTCGATGATGACTAATAATGTGGAGCATCTATTCATGTGCATATTTGCCAACTATATATCTTCTTCACTGAATCATCTCTTCAGATAGTTTCCACATTTTATGAATAGGTTTTCTTATTGAGTTTTTAGAGTTCTTCAGATAAGTCCTCCACCAGAGATGTGATGTGCACGTATTTTCTCCTAGTCTGTTGTTTATTCTTCTCTTGAAAGTCTTTCAAAGAGCAGAAGTTTAATGATTTTTGTTTTTTTTTTTTTGTAGCTGCCTAACACGGGTATCTGAACCCTTGACCTTGGTGTTAATAACACCATGCTCCCACCAACTGAGCTACCTGGCCAGCCCTAGAAGTTTTAAATTTTGATGAAGTCCAATTTATCAATTTATGAACTTTGTTTTGGTATTGTGTCTAAGAAGTCTTTGTGTATGCTAATGTCACAAGGATTTTCTCCTATATTTACTTACAAAAGTTTGATGGTTTTGTGTTTTACATTTTGGTCTATGATCCATTCTAAATTTGTTTTTGTGTATGGTACGAGGTGTACATTGAAGTTCAGTTTCTACGTGTGGATTGCCCGTTGTTTCAGCACCACTGGTTTATAAGACTGTGCTTGCTCTACCGAGGTGCCTTTGTGCCTCTTGCAAAAAGCAGTTCTCTGTATAAGCGTAGCTCTATGTCTGGGCCTGTGTTTTGTTCCATTGCTCTATTTGTCTGTGTTGATGCCAATATCACACTGTCTTGACTACTGTAGTCTTGTAATAAGTCTTGAAATCAGGATAGGTGAGTCCTCAAAATTTTTTTCTTTTTCAAAGTTGTTTCAGCTATTCTAAGACCTTTCCATTTCTATATGAATTTTAGAGTCAGCATGTTAATTTCTATTAAAAAGAAAAATCATGCTGGGATTTTATTGGGATTGTACTGAATCTATACATATATATCAGTTTGGGGAGAAATGACATCTTAGTAATATTGAGACTTTTTCCCAACTGGCCAGCCACCAAACAAACAATAATATTGAGATTTTTGATATGTGAGCATGTTATATCTCACCATTTATTTAAGTCTTCTTTAATTTCTCTCCGCAATGTTTTGAAGTTTTCTGTGGACAGGTCTTTTCACGTCTTTGGTCAAATTTATCCTTATTCCTTTTTTTTTTGGTGGCTGGTGGGTGTGGACATCTGAACCCTTGACCTTGGTGTTATAGCACCACGCCCTAAACAACTGAGCTAACTGGCCAGCCCTATTTCATATTTTTTGATATTATTAAAGTGACTTTTTTTTTTTTCCTTTTTGTCTTTTTTTTTTACTGACTGGTAACGGGATCGCAACCCTTGGTGTTGCGCCCGTACCGGGGACCAGCAACGGGATCGCAACCCTCGGTGTTGCGGCCGCACTGCACTCAGCCAGTGAGCGGGAACTGGTCTCCACATGGGATCTGAACCCTCAGCGGGAGCGCCGCCGCGCTCCCAAGCGGCGCACTCTCCAGTGCGCCACCAGGCCGGCCCTAAAGTGACTTTTTTAAACTTAAAATTTTAGAATTTTTCTGGCTAGTATAAACACAATTAATTTTTAAAAATTGGTTTTTTTATATTGATATATTGATCTTATATCCTGAAATCTTGCTAAAAAAAGGGATAGCTTTTTTTTTTTTAAGATTCCATCAGATTTTTTTTTTTTTTTTTAAGAGATGACCTGTAAGGGGATCTTAACCCTTGACTTGGTGTTGTCAGCACCATGCTCCCCCAAGTGAGCTAACTAGCTATCCCTATACAGGGATCCGAACCCGTGGCCTTGGTGTTATCAGCACCACACTCTCCCGAGTGAGCCACGGGGCGGCCCTCCAGCAGAGTTTTTATACAGACGATATTGTTTATTATGAATAAAGGCAGTTTTACTTCTTTCTTTTCAATCTGTATGCATTTAGTTTTTTTCCCTTTTTTCTTTTTTGCTTTGCACCTCCAGCACAGTGTTCAATAGAAGTGGTGAGTGTGGACATCCTTGGCTTTTTCCTGATCTTAGGGGGGAAGCATTTAGTCTTTCACCATTAAGTGTGAGGTTGGCTGTACATTTTTTTTTTAGATGTTCTTTATTAGATTGAAAAGTTCCCTTCTATTCCTAGTTTTCTCAGAGCTTTCTGAGAAATGGATGTTGGCTTTTGTCAAATGCTTTTGCTGTATCTTTCAAGG